CTCCTTCAGCTGCGGGACAGGGAGGAGAGGGGGCACAGGAGACATCTCGCTCTCATCCAAGAGACTGAGGGGTGCCCAACGCATGTGGTGACCCCCAAACCCGCGGAACAAGAGCGGGTGTGTCCCCCCCGCCCCCAGGGCTCAGCACGTGAGGGCTGGTCAGGGTCCCGTACAACCCACGGCTGAGGTCCACAGCCCCCTGGTTGCTGCTGGTGGGTCACAGCAGCTCACAGGCAACACCTGCTCTGCTGCATGTTTTAGCTTCTCACCCACCCAAAGCCCTCAGTTAACTAAAAGCCTCTAAGCTCGGCTTGCCCAGCCTTCCGTGTTCCCTGTGCCACCGTGGGGACAGCACGGCACAGCGGCCACCCCTGGTGGCCCGGGGTTCCTGCTGGGCTTGCTGGTGCGTGCTCACCTGAGCCTCCATGCGTGCCCGGCGCTCCTCCTCCTCCTTCCTCCTCCTCATGTTCTCGTTCTCCTGCTTGGCCTCTGTCACGGCTTGAAGGAACTGGTCAAAGATGCCAAAGAACTCATCAGGCTGCATTTTGTCCGTGTCTTCTCCAAAGTGCTTCACAGCCTTGGAAAACTGGGAAGAGAGAGAAGACAGGCATCCATCAGTCTGGGAGATACCCACCGCCCCAGTGAAGACCCCTGTGGGAAGCCTTTGTCCTTATGGAGCAGAAAGGAACATTTCCAGCAGGGCTTTGCTTCATCAAGCCTTGACTTAAACAGGAAATAAATCACCTGACATTTTACCTGCTGCCCTGTCAGAGCCAACCTGGATTGCTCCTGAGCCCCCTCTCCCAAAACATCCCCCATAAACCCCTTCTTGCCTCTGGCTCTGCTGAGCCTCCCCCTGCCCCAGCTCGACTTTATTAACTAAGCAGCAGTAAAAACAAGGAAGCAAAATATTGTGGGACCGAAGACCAAAGACATAAAACTAATAGTAAACACGGCAGGGGAAGGGAAACTCGCACTTTTAAGTTTTTCTTTGAAGTATTTTTGGGGTATTATTTATCATTGCCACATGCTCTGCTATTGAAACCAAATGTGTTGGTGGAACTTCTAAAAGACATTTCTGCCCGGGCTCAGGCACAGCCCTGGGTAGGGAAACTGGGAGTTTTCCGGCCTTCCGTGCTGTTCGTGCGCCAGCAGCGCAGGGGAGTCGAATGAGGCCGTAGCAAAGGTCAGGACGGGACATCCAAGATCTGCTGATGCATCCTGGTCCCCAAGGAGTCTGCCAGCTGTCCTTGGGACTGACAGCCTTTGTTTTCACTTCCAGTTTGAAGGAGCCTCTTCGGGCACAGAAAGTTTGTTACAACTGCGGTGGCGCGTTCTGGAGATAAGGGCGCGGAGAAGGAGAAACAAAACCCAAACACAAACAGATTTATTAGCTGCCTTGATTTTTCTGGGTAGAGCAAGAGGAACATTTTTAAAGCCTGCCTGTATGATTTAAGTTTTATTTGCAGGGGTGCCTCAGGCTCTTCAAAAGACATTTAGGGCATTTTTATTTCTTTGTTTACTTAAGAGATGTAGGACTCCAAGATGCAGGGAGGAATCTGAGAGGTGCCACTATGTAAGTCAAAATAATTGGGGTTGTTCTTGTTGGTTTTCATCAAGATAGTGGATTTTCTGCCACATTACAGGACACTCTGGTGGGGGGAAAGGCTGAAAATGTTATCCTCACAGGATATAAAGTTTATAAAACAATTATATCTCTGTTTTACTAAGAGAAACCAGTAACACAGTTTGAATCTGGACATGTGTTAAAAAAGCTGGTGCACTTTACACAGCCCATCCTGTCCATAACCATGGGAACAACCATGCACTGCTTCAGAGTGGACTTCAATGGGCTCTGAGGACCACGGCCAGATCTTCTTCTCCAGATCCATCCAAGTCAGCAAAAGACAATACAGTTTGCAGAGCATTTGTCACCATCTCCATAGTCCTAACTCACTGCAGACAAGATCTGCCAGGTTGCCATCAACAGTTTAAAATGGTGGCCTGGGTTAGCCATGGCCTCAGGAAGGCAATGGTCAATCATAATGCCCAAGCATGGGTAGATGGGCTGAAGGACACTGCCAACTGGACATTGGTATAACCAGGGAAAAGAAGGTGGTGGCACTTGGTAACTTTTGTCTTTGGAGAGGTAGCTCATGGAGTGCGACAAGGATGGGACCTCTAAAACAGCCTGTGCTGGACCATCTCCCTGCCACTTCAATCAAGATGAAGGCCAGGCTATGGAGGAGGTAGTGGAGGACTGTTCTTGCAGGGAACAGAAACCAGCTGTGTGTCCCTTTGCTGAAAGAGGGGAAGCAAAAGGTGCTTGGGAACCACAGATGTCAGCCGATGGCCACCCCCTTGCTGTGATTTAAACCAACCTGGTATGGAGGTCATTGCACGTGGCTGCAAAGCACTCACCAAGGCACTACTGTGAGGAAGGTGAACATTCAAGTAGCTCCCCATACCAGGTGTGAAGTCAGCCTCAATCATGTCACTGAGCTCCTCTCCCTCTACTCTGGAGACAAGAGCTGGGCAGACTGAAGTTACGCACTAGATGTTGTGGGGTCACTCAGCCAGCCTGGGTTGTCTCTGATAGCAGCCTCTGTGTGACCTCATGTCCCACCTGAAGATCTTTTCCTCCTCTTCCATCAGCACCAGACAGAACCTGCTTTCTGCAGCTTTCAGCCTTCCCTGGCCAAGATGCCCCAAATCTAAAGCCATCAAAACTGGGGTATTTCCATTGTAAAACAGAAAGCAAAGCAAGCCCTGTAGGCTTGAGTGAAAGCTCTTCACTGAAAATCAGATCCTCACAAATGACCTATCCTATCCTCTCCTGAGGGACACAACTCTCCCAGGGCTATCCCCTGCCCTGCATTTCCAGAGGATAGACAGGCTTTCTACAGAACATCATGCTTCCCAGAAGCAGTCTGTTGGCCTGACGTGTGCTCCCCTGGCATGTTGGCTTGTGGAGCTGGAAAAAGGCCCTGGGGACAGACAGGGATGTGCCCACCCCCTCCAAACAAACTATGAAGAGCAGCCCAGCACCTTTCTCATGTTAGGGTCTCAGCAAGACACTCAGATGGTCTCGTGTGGGAGGCATCTGAGATGTTAACACATAGCATGTGCTCTGAGAAGGCCAGGACTTCCCCTTCCCTGTTGACTGGAGGAAATACTGAAATGCTGCCCAGATCTCAAGGACGTTGGTGACCTTACCAGCTCTTTTGCTTCCATCAGAAGATCTTCAACATCTGAGAAGCTGAAGCTGGCTAACGTGATGAACTGGCTGACGACAGACACAAACTTGTCACCCGTTTGCTGAACCTGAGACTTCTGGAAGTCCAGCTCCTTTGGGGAAAAAAAAAAAAGGGAAATCTGGTCAGGCCCTGGCTGATGAGGGGCACAGGTACCATCAGCCTCTGTTAGTCCCATGGGGTGTGTGCCTGCATGTGCCACCAGCACTGGCTGCACCACACTGCTGCTCCCCCCTACCTGGGGTGAGACCACGGGTTACCATGGTTTACAGCACCATCCCTGCACTGTGCTTTTGAGACCAAATCCTGCAGGAGAGAGGGTGGAAGCAGCATAATTTAGCAAGACAGTGAGTCCTTCGGGATACCTCCACCATTTCAACACCACTCCAGCCTGGCTGCAGAAGTGCTGCCCAGCCCTCTGCGGTTTCACAGCCACGGGAAGATCCCTCAGCACATCACAGGTCCCCCATGGCCATCGTTGCTGGACTCACTCAACCTCCCTTGGTGCATTAGACACAAACCATGCACGTGCCTCCCAACCACACATGGTAACCTCGGTGCCAAAACAGCCCTAAGAGGACAGGAGCACGTGCAAGGCAGGAAGGAAAGACAAACAGATCTCCAGGATGTGAGATTAAAGCAGCTTTGCTGGGAGCTCCCTCGCCTGCCTCCCTAAGGGGGGATGCTGTGGTGCTTGGAGCCAGGCTGGACTGTATCTGATTTAAATGATACTTACAGTCTCCACCGCTCGCAGGCCGCTCCTCAGAGTGTTTATTTCTTTCTCCAGCTCGGTCATGCTGTTGGAAATGGCAGGATGTTAAATTTGCAGCCTCCCCCAGTAAATCCTACAGCTCTCTGACCAACTCGACTGTGTTTTTCCACCGAAAAGACCCTGGTGCTGCACAAAATGCCTCCTGCTTGCAACACAGCGTGTCCCGAGCTGCAAGCTGGCCTGACAGCCTATAAAGCAGGACAGCTGCCCATCTCAAAGTAGCTGCAGTTGTTTGTTTTAAAGGAAAGCACTTTTCTTGTGTTTTTAATCAAGGGGACTGTGCAGACTTAGTGAGCTCAGCAGCCTCCAGACCTCTCCAAGCAAAGGGAGAGCTCAGGAGAGGGCCTTGCTGGGCATGGATTTCTCTTCCCCTCTCAAGTGCCAGCAGAAAGTGGGTTTGTTATCCCATTGCACCCCGGGCAATTTTTAGGGCACCATGGTTAGGTGAATTAGGTGAATGCCATACAAAGCATCCTCGGATCAGCTAGGCTGTCATGGAAGGAGACAACCCAAATATAGAGAAACAAAAATAAATCGTCACGTCTGGCACTGGCTGTGCTTACATAAGGCTCAAGTCCCTGATGAGAGTCAAGTTCAAGTGCTTACGAGTTTCTACCACTACATCTGAGCAGAAGCTTTCTCACAAAGGCTCCATGACCACAGGTTTGACATCTTTCCAGGGATGTCTGTCCTAGGGCTGAGGTCCCTGGAAACACTGACATCAGGTCATGGGGCAAGCATTGCTGGCAGGTTTAGTCTGGGAAAATGCAGTTTTGGGAGCCCTGTGCTCCAGCAGTTCATTACTAGTGGTGGGATTGACAGAGGCAGCAATTCTCCTTCACAGCTGCAGGGCTGAGGGGAATTCAGGGTTTTCCACAGCTTTAGAAACTTGTTGGTTTCGTTCTAGATTGGACCAAACCCAAATATTACATATGGTGTCCAGTTTAGAGCAAAATGATAAAGTTTAAGGGAGGGGGAGAAAGAAACCCTCTTTCTTTCCCACACGTGTGTCTGTGCAGCAGCTGCAGCTCCACAAGCATGAGAAAGCTGGAGCCTCCACCAGTGAGGAGCATACCCTGCTCCACCATGTTCTCAGCCAATGCCTACGGGTGCAGCCACCACACACCCCTCCCTGCATGCCAAGATCTGTCCTGTCACTTTATTTAATCCCTATGGCTGACAATTACTTTATGTTTCCAACAGGAGGATTCTTGCTTTGCCCATGACTGACCTTCTGTGGGGAAGCGGCTGCTCCTGCAAGAGCACTTTGAAACTTGAAAGCAGCCTGAGCTGCCATAAACTCTGTGCATATTTGCCATCCCCTCTCCACAGAGGTGCAGTTCCAGGCCGTGGCTGACAGGAATGTGTCCTGGCTGCAGAAACTTGGGATCATTGCTGCTCAGGTCCCTGAAGCAGCAATTTTTTGCTGAACTTTAAAACCAGAACAGAGCCTCATTGATCCCAGAGGGCCTTCAGCACCTACTTGAGGACTTTGCAGTGCAACAGCAGATTCCTCCTGCACTTCAGAGTTCAGTGTGTGTCTAAGGGCTTTGTGGAGGGGCCTCTGGGGGCAAAGACACAGCAAAGAGACAGCAAAAAGGTGGTGGGCAGGCTGCTCCCAACAGGACACCGGGCAGGGTTTCAAAGCTCATTGCAAACACCAGAAGCTTCACGTTGGTGGTGAAACAAGGGCCAGGCAGGACCAGGAGGCAGGTGAGCCACTCACACCCCTGCCTGGCCCTGCCCCTGCTGCAGGCAAAGCTTCCCCACCACACACAGATCTGCAGCTGCCCTTTATCTGCAGCCACACCGCAACCACTTCCTCCAGGATTACTTAACGTAACCATTAGAAATTAATTAAATGCTTCTGCGGTGAGATAACAACAGGAAACGCTGCTCCCAGCAGCTCTCCTCCCTGGAGGAGGGAGGCTTGCAGCCTTTTGCTGCCAAGGCCTGAGATTTAAACCCACCAGGTGATGCTTGCTCCTGCCACCTGGGCTGTTCTCAGGCCAGCACGTCCACAGCCCGGTGTCCAGCCTGGTGTCCAGGATCTGGGAGCAGGGCAGGGTGATGTGGAAAGGCAGGCTGGAGCAAGGGGAGAGGTGTTCCTGGCACTCCCTGAGCCTACATTCCTGCTTTTCCTGCTTACTTGACTTTGGCTGCCTGAGGGATGTCTCGCAGCTCCTCGTGCAGGCGGAGGGCTTTGGGGTATTTCTTCTCAACAATGGTGATGAGATAGTGCAGAAGGGTGATGTTCCTAGGAAGGAGGAGCGGCGAGGTCAGCCCGGCGGCACCACGGGGAGCTGAGAGCTCAGTCAAAAAGCCCCAGTTAAATCCCAAGCCCTGGGAGTGAACTATTTTGGGATTTCTGCAAGGACGCTACTTGCTGCCTGTCTGGGGACATGGGATGGGTCTGTCCCAAGCACAGCTGCAGTGCAGAGCAGCCTGGTCCCCGCAGGACCACAGGAGGTACCTGGGGGAGGTGACTTGAGAATCCCATCCTCCCTTGTCTTTAATGATGGAGAGGGCAGGCAGATTTATGACCTGACCCAGCTCCTCTTGCCCTGTGCATGGAGCTTGGTGGGGGAAGAATGAACCAGGCGATGGGTGCAGCAGCTCAGGGGGCTGCAGAGGAGGTTCCCATGGAGAGGAACCCCTGGGATTCCCTCCTCAGGCCACTGCACCACTTCATGCTGGCTTCTCAAAGCAGGGAAAACAGCACTTGGAGGATGATCCTCCCAATCAGCCTTGGCTGTTATTTAGCCGGCCCAGGAAGGAAAGTGCCCATTGATCCCTGTGCTGATCTGCAGCTCAGCTTCCCGTGAAATCTGTCCTGCTCCAAACACGGATGGTTGCATCATCAGATGTGCCAGACGAGGGCTTCAGGAGGGAGGGGACCGCTCTCACCTACCCACGGCCCCGAGGCAACGCTAAGGATCCCTCTGTTCCCACAGCATCCCGGGGGGGCCACGGACGCTACTGAGGATGAGAGCAGGGGCTGCTCACTTGTCAATGCTGGACTTGGTGTCCGCGATCTTGTTGAGGCTGGAGATCTTAAACCCGAAGGCGTTGCCCCTCTGGCCTTTGTTCATGTAGTTCCCGAAGGCCAGGACCACCTCCAGCAGCTGCTGGAGGCTGCTGCTCTGCAGCACTGCCTTGGAGCCCGCACGGATGGCTGAAAGCAGAGAGGTGTGGGACGTTACCCCTGCCCAGATGGCACACCAGGCCTTTACAGCAACCCCTCTGGTGCCCCCAAGGCCAAGGAGTGGCCACCAGCTCCCTCCCTTCCCCTGCATCCCTGCAGCCTCCACAGAGGGATGCTCTTCCTACCAACACTCCCCATGCTGGCTTGGAGCCCCGTAGTGACCTTAGCAGGTCCAGCCACTTGCCTTCCACCTTGGGTTTGACTTCTGCAACTCTCTCTGCAAACTTCTTCTTGAAGTAGAGGGATTGCAACCTTTGCTGATAGTGGTTTATCCTGGGGGACAAAAAAAAAAAAAAAGAAAAAACAAAAACAAACCAAGAGGTGCAGGTTGAGCTTTGCTTGCTCCAGGCAGAGCTCAGTTGCTCTGCTGCTTGCAGCTGTGCTTACAAAGCTCATTTGAGCTTGATTAAAAAATCATGATCACATTTCTCCCTGAAACTGTGCTGGGATGGGAAAAAATGTCAACTGAAGCTACAGCTGTCCTAGGGTGCATCCAGGTGGGCTCTTAAGCACATGCTAAAGCCTATCCTTAACTCAGCAGGTTCAACAAGTGCATTTTTACACCCTTTTGCTATGAACAAACAGTTCAGTTACAACCACTCCTTAGCAAAGATGCTGATGAGATCAGGGATGCCAGTGGCTTTGTGATGAGCTGTGTCTGGACACAGGCACATCAACTACCAGCACTAACAAAACCAGATCTTCAGATCCTCAAAAATGATGGCTTGGGCTGGAAAGCCACCAAAACAGCCCAATCCAGCCCTTTCCTGGGCAAGTCAGGGAAAGCTCTGGTCATGTCAGTTGTATTTAGGCTAAACAAGATCTCACTTGTAAGCAAATGGCAGTCTGATTTGAGTCATTTGGACCAAGGACCCATGGGAGACAGGCTCACAGACAAGGCCATGGGCTACACTGTCACTGTACTAATCAGAGGTGACAAAGACATCACACTCAGTTACAGACCACAGGGCAAATTAAAAAGCCGTGCTGGAAATCAAGGAAAACGTTTTCATTAGCATGTTGTGCTTTCCAAAAGATGAAGGCACAGGAGCAAGGCTCGAGCAAGAGGCCGTGAAGAAGAAAGGTGACCTGCAATAGGAAAGCTCATCCTGAACATCTTCCAGCCCTGAGGGCTCAGGTCTGAACCTCACAGCTCCATCCTGCCTGTCTTTGACACTCAGCAACTACACGGTGCGTCGCCTCGGTGCCCGTCGGCGCGTTTCTCTGGGAGGGCAGAAGTGTTTCTATTTTTGATCTCCCAGTATGATCTCAGATTGGAAAACTCCCTGACTTTGCAAGCGAGTGACTTGCTTGAAGTTCAGCCTAAGAAACTCAGTGAGCTCAATTGGATTTGAGTAAGGAGCTTGGAGATTTTAAACCAGCACCTCCAGAGGATGTGTATGCAAAAGATAAGGTTATTCATCCCCAAAGACTTCTAAGCCTTAAATGATTGCTACCAGGAGCAGGAAGAAATGGCTTTCTGTCTCATGTATTCTCAGGAGCCCCAGGGACTAGTCATTCCTGGAGATGAGGAGTGGGACTCATCTGCACAGCAGGGCAAAATTTACATACATCAGTCTTGAGTATTCATTAGCATATGTGTGTGTGAAGGGGAAAGGAGCATCCTGTCATCATCCAAACAGCACTCCCCACCTGGGCCACCCTGCAGATGATTCAGCCTTTCACAGAACTGTGCCAGACTGAGCTTTTCTCCCCCAGATTAAAGGGGAAATGAGCTGGGACGTGACCTGGGAAGCCAGCACCTCCCTCCAGAGTATCCATTTCCCCATCCCTCCCCCCTGCTCCATGCAGATGCTGCTTGTCTGGGATGCACAACCCTGATTTTAGGAGCACAGGATGACCAGGGAGCCTCATGAGTGGCAGCACCTTGCTTGCCCTCCCATCCATTCAGCCCACTCATTTATTGATGTGAAAAACAGTAAGCAGGGCTTATTTCCCAACCAGGCTCCATGAACCAGCCACTTTGCAACAGGCCATGCAGCCTGAGCTAAAACATGTGTCCCCTGGGCCACCAACCTGCTCATTTCGAAGAGGAACCTGTCAGCCTTGGCCATGCGGTCCAGCTCGTGCTTGTGCTCTTCCAGCAGGTCAATGTCACCCTTTTCAGGAACAAACTTCAGGAGCTAAACAAGGGAAAGCACACTGGTGGAACATGAGGTCCGTGCACAGTCTTTAAGGAGCAAAATGGTGATTTATTTGCTTGAATCTACTACCTTTTCAGCATGTACAGACAGTGACCCCCAGGCACCTATGAAATAAGTGTTATGGCAGTCCCTGTGACCTCCTTCCTATTATCCCATCACATTAGTGGCCCTTGCTTCTGGCCTGCCATCACTCAGGTTTTACAACAGATGTGTTATGTCTGCTCCAAGGAGTTTTCAGCATCAGCTCTGCCAGAGGAGATCTGAGGGACTCCAATTTGCTGCAACTCTACCTATTTGCAGATGGAAGTTCTGTGCCACTAATCCTCCCAAGTTTCTTGCTGGAAGTGCAGTTACCAGCTTGGCTTTAAGGACAGGTGGCTAAAATGCCTCCAGAGGGATTCAGAAGTGGTGAAAAATGGGAATCCCTTTTTAAGGACTGCACCAATGCTGAACAAGGTTTCAAAAATACAACTTAACTGAGCATGAACTTCAAGCTGCAGCCACAAAACAGGCAATGGGCTCAGCCTTGGGGTCCCAGGGTAGGCCTGGGTACAGGCATGGGGCATGGAGACCATGCTGCTCCCAGCTCTGATCCTACAACTGAGCTGCTTTCCTGCTGCTCCAGCCCACTTGGGTGGTTTTTCAACATGTGCTTGGTAAATGACTTGGGGCCTCAGTTCTCAAATTCACTGTTTGGTCACAAGCACCTTGCACAGCGTGGTCTCAGCATGAGGCAGCTGTGGAGGAGCACAAGACATGTTGCCCACCTGTTCCAGCATGTCTTTTGGGAGGTCCTCCTGCTCATCCATCGTCAAAATCGCTCGTTTGATCTCCTCGTTTGAGAGTTTCAGCCTGGGAGGTGGAGGGGAAGGAGTTATTCCCAGCCCAGCAACCAGGCAAGGCCCAGCAGCATTTCCTTACACACCCGGGCGACAGGAACAGCATCACAAATTACACTGTACAGGGTGTTATGAAAAAGGATGTGGGAGAAACGTGGTGGGAACGTGCTCTGCCAAGGCACAGCACAGAGCAGCCCTGCTGTGAACAGGGGGTCAAACCCTGTTGGCCCATTCCCTCTCCCCACTCTGCAGCTGCTGTCCCTTATTTTATAGTATTTTATGCAAGTATCACAAGCAGTGTATTATACATGTATTAAAACAAATAACTTGTCTAGAACCACAGAATGGTTTGGGTTAGAAGAGACCTTAAAGATCATCTAGTTCCAACACTCCACCATGGGCAGGGACACCTCCCACTAGACCAGGTTGCTCCAAGTCCCAAATATGATGATATATATAATATCAAAGCCCCATATATAATCAAAGCCCCCATTATATGAAACTCTTGGCTGCAGCAATGCTGCTTCAGCAGTGCCAAGATCCCTGAAGACCATGGGGCCAGAGGGGGTGACACTCCCTGCTGGCAGCAAAGCCCAGTCCAGGATCAGGGTCACAGCCCAGCATTACTCCTGAGCCCACTGCCACAACCCCTAAGGAATATTTGGCCAAAGCCTGCTGCTTTTCTTGGATTTGAACATTGCCTCTCCCATTCCTCCCATCCACCTTTGATTGTAGTCTCCCAGTTGGAAAAAAGAGAGGAAAAAAATTCCAAAATTTGGGGAAGCAGATGCTCAGCTTGAGCTATTTTTTTGGAGTGGAGATGCTTTGAAGTGTAAGAGGATAGAAAATAGCCCCCACCCCCCCTTTTTTTGTTCTTCCTCTACTTCACATAACGGGAATTGAAGACGTAGCCTCAAATTGGAGATTTCTAAAACCCCAGACTATTGTATCCCAGAAAGCAACAACAAACTGGTCTTCCCTGACAGTAGGTTATTTGACAGCAGCCTGCACCAAGCTGAGGCAACAGATAAGACAGAGAGGCACCCTCAGCTCCTCCTGGGCTAGAGCAGCCATTAATTACAGTTTAATTCATCTGCAGCACTCCCTGTGACCACTCCCCTGCAAGGACTCTGATTGCAAAACCACACATATTTTTCTTCATGTTTTTGCACTGTGGTTGATATAATCTAAATGTGAAAGAGGGAAAGCCCAGAAACTCCTGCAACTCCATTTACCAACATCCTATCCCTTGCCCAACTTGCAGTAATGGTTAAAGCTATTGCAGTCGATACTAGTTTATTTTTTTTAAAATAAATAATCCCCTGTTATTGCAAGCAGGGAAAAGTTGCACAGCTGAAAAGACCCATTTGTGGGCTTTGAGAATACCCACTGTCCCAATCTCAGTGATCAGTGCTGCCAAGGGAGGCTGATACACTGGACGTGGCTCAAAGGAATGAGCTGAAACCAGAAACACACCCTACTGTGGGATGTGAGACCTTGGAAGTCAACCCGATCAGCAAATCAAAAGGAAGGCTGGGAACTGACTTGATCACTTTAACTAATTAAATGAGGAGGTTATTTTTTATCCTGGCATCTCTTCAGGAGAGAGGAAACCCTGGAGCTAGTTTTTTGAAGATGAAGCTAAAGGAGGAAAGGTGCTGGTCTCTTAAGACCAGGGAAGCAAGGGCTTAGTTTAGCTTGAAATCTTTTGCTCAAGACCTGAAGCAGAGGATTAGCCATAGTGAGGATGGTGGATCTTACAGACCTGGCAATTTGTTCCTTATGAGCTCCTATTTCCCATCCCATCCCCACTCCTCTCTCACATCCTGTTGGGGGGTGACCCCCAAGAGAGGGCTTGTTAAATGAGGAGCGAGTTAAAATCTCACCTCAGTCAGGGGAGGAAGCTCAAAGATTGAGCTGAGCAGCACCCAGCACTATTGCTAGGGTAGCTGCACAAGAAGCAAACCCAGGATCCATGGAAAATGTCCCCTCTGATGGCTGCAGTGACAAGCAGCCACAAGCCAAGGACACCCTATATGCCCCATACAAGGGTGGTGGCCAGGATGGACACGACCCAAGGTGGGATATGAAGCTTCAGAAGGACTCCTTCTACACCCAAGCAATCACCTAAGAGATGAGACCACCAACGAATGTCACACTGGTCCCCACCCTAAAGAAACACAGACACTGGCTGGGTTTGGACATTTGAGGGATCCCTGGGAAGCAGAAATGCTCCTGGGAGCAGGGGGTGGGTAGGCAGCTACTCACTGCTCTTCCAAAGCCAAAGCCAACAATCCCAGCGCACACTTTCCCCACTGACCACCTCCAGGAGGGTGGCAAAAGATGAGGGTGACTCCTGTAAGCCCTTGCTCATTAAAAGCAAAGTCTAGAATGGAAGATACATTATTTTTTTTTTAAAGAAGAGGCTGAAAAACCCCCTTTTCTCAGGCATCATCAAAACCCAGCGCCAGGAACAAGAGCCCACCCCGGCACCGGCAGAGAGCAAGCCTGGGGCGCCAGAAGAAAACAGCTTCTCAGACAACTTGATGGGAAAGGGGCCAGTGAAAGCTAGAAGCTTATCTATAACCACAATAATTATCATTGTTGGCAGCAGCTGTCGAACGCGAGCCGTCTGAGAGGAACGGGGTCACGGGACTGGCTGTCACAGGGATTTAAAGCCCGGGTCCCGCCGATGCGAGGTGACAGCTCGCCAGCCTGGCGAGCACGGGGCTGTCCTGCAGGGTGGCTTTCTGCAGGGTCCCGTGGAAGGTGTCCCTCAGTGTGAAGGGGAAAAAGGAATTCTCAAAAAGCCACAGTCACGGGAGATGATAAAAAGGGCTCCGCGCTGCCTCGCCTGGGAGGGGAATCAAACGAGGAATTCACCAGCAGGGTGGGTGGAAAGTGACAGAGCGAGGGCTTGATGTGCCTCTTGCAGGAAGCAGCACCAAAAATACACGCACACGTAGAAGCAAGGTCATGGTGGCTCCCCAAGGAAGAGCTGATAATGCACTTGCACTGGCAAAGCGTTCTTTAAAAAACAAGAAGAAAAAAATTAAAAAATAAAAGGGAGAGAAAAAAAGTGTTAAAAATATTCTTGTGCTGCATTACAAGCCGGAGGAAAATCCAGTGATCTCACTGCGCAGTAATTTCTCCCAGAGCAAGGGAAGCAGGCAAAAAAATAAATCTACAGAGAGAGATAAAGTATCTCACTGGCTGTAATCTTTCCACTCTGCAAGCCAGACAATGCCTGGTGAGCTTACAAATGTCTGGGCTAAATAAGGGGCCAGGCTTGCAGGTCCTTTTGCATGTGAAAGTCTGCTTGTCCCTGTGGTGGCTGCACAAGGGGGGCAGGAGAGCAGCAGCAGCCCAGGTTAAGCTGAGCCCTTGGCAACCCAAGGACCAGGGACCTGCTGGTCTGCCCAGCTTAGGGATAGGCAGCTGGGATGGGCAGCGATGACAGGGTTTGCCCAAGGTCTCATGGAGTCTGGCTGGACTTGAGCCAGCAGACGTCCTTGGGAGCCAGAGGGATGCTTGGGCTTCATCCCAACACTGCCCTTCCTTTTAGCCACTTGGCATCAAGAGTAAATCACCCAAAGGGCGAGAGAAACCTGGGGAGAGAAACCTGTTTGTGGTCCTTTGCAGAAATGGGGGAAGGGGCAGATTTGGCTACTGCTGTGGTGCTAGAGAAATGCCTTCATGCTAGAGAAATGCCCTCTGCCCACACAGCCCTGGGAGCATCACGAGACAAACCCCAAAACACCTCCCCCCAGAGCCACTTGTCCCTGCAGGGGCCCCCGATGCTGGGGGATGTGCCTGGGAAAAAGCTGTAGGAGAGGCCTAGGGACCACCCTGCAAGGCAGTTCTGATCCCAGTTCTCCCTCAGGAATGACCCCAATGGGAGGGCAGGCAGGCAGCAGCCTCTGCGTTGCCCTTTTCGTGGGATTAATTACTGGCAACTCATTTCCAGCCATTGCTTTCTTGCAAGAGAAAGGTTTGCTGGTGAGATGAAATTTAGACCTTTACCCAGTAAGACATGCGAGATGCCTCTGAAGGGAAATGTTTGGGTAGCTCCCCTTGCCCCCAAAGGGGCTATCTGTGTACTTCAGACCCAATTATACACTTTAATTACACTGAAACCCACTCTGAACATGTTCAGCCTCAGCAGGCTGGGGAGCAGCCCAGCCTGTGCCCCGAATCCCATCTCTTTACTCGCTCATCACTGGCTGCCACAGATGTTCTCATTCACCTGCTGTTTTAAAACTCTGCTTTCATCATCATCCTTTTTATTGGGACTGCTAGGAAGTATGAAAATCCCCAGAAGCAACCCAGGGTAGAAACAGCCATAAACACAGCAATTTCAGCACTGAAGGCTGTAGCACTTGGCTCGCTGCACTCATCGCTCCTGCTGCCCAGGGGGCTGCACACCAGCTCCAGGAGAGCATGAAGAAGCACTAGGGATGGTGAGTTGTCCACCCAGAAGGGTTGTTTTGGTGGTTTTTTTTGGCAGGCACCAGCCTCTTCATGCTTCCTAGGGACACAAACCTAGCCAGGCTTGCCCAGAAGACACCAGTTCTGCAGAGCAATGGTCAAGGAAAACAGAATTTGGGCACCATGGCTACAGCCCCACCCTGCCAGTGATGCTGCTCCATCCTGGTTGGTCCTGGGTGGCACAAAAGCTTCTGCACTTCCAGGCAGAAGAGGGAATATTTCTGAATGGAGCTATATTTTACTGCTCTTGGGATTTTTTTTTTTTATTTCCTGGGTGAGTCAGAAACAAGTGGCATTTTCTGCTGCTGTTTGCTGGGGTTTTTTTTCAAGTAGCTAGGCTGATGGTTGACCCTCCTCTCAGACCACTGCAGCCTGGCTTCTCCCTTCTCAGGAGTCTGTCTTACTGGTGTAGTTTATCTTGCCAAAAAAGGTCCTTTTTATCCTCTTGGCACAGGCTGGGGATGGGATTAAATTGCTGGTAGCAGTGCTGAGCCCACCTGGTGAGGGGCACGTGGGAGGCTGTCAACCCAGCAGGGCTGGGAAGCTGGAAGAGGGGGACATCCCCTTCCCAAAATCCAGGTGTGGCACAGGACACCAGCATGGGCAGCCAGACCCTGGCCAGATTATGCTGCAGCTCCCCACACCCTGCCAATACCCACAGAATTGTTCTGGTTGGAAAAGACCTTTAAAATCATTGAGCCCAGCACTTTCCCCAGCCTAACAGAGACCCCTTTCACCTCTCACTAAAGAGCAAACAAAGCCCAGGCTGAGGAAGACAAGAGGTGAAATCTACCCCTCTTCCCATCCTCTCTAAAGGGTCACCAGGTTCCTCAGCTCCTCTGGGGCTTTTTAGGGACACTAAATTGCCATGTAGCCAGTTAATGGCATCTCCCCCCATGTCACCCTGCTCGGAATGGTGTAAGGCTATAGCAGGGTTCAGGTGTCACTGGCTCTGTTCCTGTGCTGGCTCATGTCATTAAATCCTCCCTTCAGGGATGAGGATCACCCCCCAGGGCAGTGTATCAAGCATATCAAGCACCCCCCATTTCCCAGAGGCTGAGAAGCCATCAACCATACCTGGAGAGGAGGATATTGCAGTTCTGAGCTCTCCGGCCATCTATGACCGAAAGCTCCTTGACTTTATGCCGGGAACTCAAGGTGTCATCGATAGCATCTTCCTTCTACAAAAAACACAAGGAGGGGAAAAAACCCAACAATAAGCCTAAAGAAAAGCCATGGAGAAGCAAAGACATTTAGTACTCTCAGCACATAGCAGCGTGATACACAGTGGACCCTCATTAATCAGGAGTGTCACCACGGGTTATGGGTAAAACCCATTCCCTGTAGCTGAAACACACTAAGTCGTTTCATAAACCAGAGCTGGCTTTGAAGCCACTGGTTTGAAATGTAAATATTTTCTCAGACAGGGAAGATTTAAGAATCTGTAAACACACAGGCGCTGCTGAACAAATAAAGCTGGGCTTTCTTAGCATACATATTTGTGATACTTCATTAATTCCTCGCATGAAATATTTCCTTACGGGCTGCTGCACACACTCAGCATCACTCTTGTTCTTCACCCCCACTCCAAGCATCTGCAGTCGCCCTTCACGCATCAGTCCTCCCGAGCAAGCCAACCAACACAAGCCACCAGACTTGCACACACAACCTGCAGCATTTTGCTGCTCTTTCAGGGAAATTCTCCCCAAATAATGGATTTGGAAGCAGCAATCAGTGTGGTGTAAGCACTCACATCTCTTCAGCAGCTTATATGCTTTTACCTTCAAATGAGTAACAATACACCAACTGTGGCAGCAAGAGAATGGGCATATCTACAACAGCAACTTTGCAGAGCTGCCCAAGGGGTTCATGTTGCCCCTGGTTTTAATTTACCATATCACATGTAAGGTTAATCAATTAAAAGCCTGCTACTCAATCCTCCTGGAAGGAACACAACCTGGAGCTGCAAGGTCCCACGCCCTACAGAGCTGCTACTAAACGTCTGCCAGCTCAGGAGACCTGGCACACAGCCACTGCACGGGTTGAGAAGGTGCAGAGAAACTCCCATTTTTTTACTTCCTTGCTTGAATGAAAAAAAACAAACAACAAACAACAGCTATGAAAAGCAGGAAGCTCCTGGGACAAGTGGCATAGAGCGAAGGCAGTGGCAGATGAAGGCAGGTTGAGCCCCAAGTCACCTGCCATCAGTTGCCCCTCTCATGTGTCTTGAGAGCTTCAACCCACAGGTTTGAGTTTTTCATTTCCAGCTTTTGAAAAGTGAAAATGCTCAAGGGGAGGAGCACCTCTGTGTTAAGCTGCATCTACACATTCAACCCTTGGGTTCAGATGCTGGCTTCAACACCTGGCCAGACGGCAGAGAGGGCAGCTTGCACTTACCAGCCTCCCTGGCACCAACTTTCCAGTTGCACCTCCTGGTGACCTTTGCACCTCTCTGAGATACCCCCATTTTGCTGTTAACCCCCGGCAGCGCTGCACGTGTCCCCCATCTCCCCAACCCCACTGTCGCCCTGCCCTTGCTGCTGGCTGGGCTCCTGCAGGTGCTTGCTTACCTGTCTGGAGTTACCGTTCACAAAGAAGTCCTACGGCCATAGCAGAAGCATGGAAAAAGGCAGTAAAAACACATGCAGTTCAGTGATCGCAGCGAAACCAAAAGGAACCGAAGCACGGTCAGGGGGAGGGTGAAACACAGGGGGGTCATCAGCACTCGGGGTCTGCCAGCCCCAAAAGAGAGGGGATGCACATGAAAATGTGGTGGGGATTAAAGGACTGAGAGAGGGAGAGGTGGCTCCATGAATGGATCAGGCCAAGGTGCAGGGACATGGGAGGAGGTGGGAGGACGCTGGCGTGAGAGGCAGCGAGCACAGGCCCAGAGGCACAGCACTGCTCAGCTTGCCAGGCTGGGGAAGAAAATTGCTAGTTTTTGTGAATCCAAGGGACTGAAACGCCAACGTGACTGCCAGGAAAAACAGGGCTTGCAAGTGGAAATAGCGAGAGGTTCATCCCGGAGCAAATCTGGCCACAGCAGAACTTCACCACGGAAACACATTTCCCCTTGGTTTCTCCTCTCACAAGGGACAACCCGTCCTCTGCAGCAGCCTGGTCAAATGCCACCCTGCCACCCTGCTGGCACTGCGCTCCCCTGAAGACCTTCCTGTCCTGCCAGGTTCCCCCCATCAGACGGAAGCACATGTGGCAAAGCTCGCACCACACACATGCACACAGAAGGGTTTTCCCTCCTGGTTCCCTGGGCTGCATCATGTTTGGGCTTTTTGTGCTTGGCTCAAGAGACCATCCAGCAGCTCCGTGATGGGGAGGGAGGTGCCAAAAGTCCACAAATGGTTTCATTTTTTTTAGTACAAGGAGGAGTGAACAGAGATGACAGATGGGTCCAAATGCAGTTGGTTTACAAGGATCAACAGCCCACGTGCTTCATTCTAGCTTGTTATCTCCAAACACATCCCATCACTGCTGCCTTTTTAAAGGAAACCTTTTTAAGCAGGTTTTTCCCTGACCAGCTGCTGAGGCTGGATCAGCCCAGGATCCACATGTGGGTCTAGGCAGGAAGATGGAAAAGGGCTCTCTGTTAGATGCCACCAAACACCCAGGACTGGGGGATCAGCACCTGTGGGGGCTGAGCTATGCTGATCACAAGCCCAAGCAGGTATAAACCAACACATCAGGCTTTCCTTGAGCCCACAGAAATGCTGCAGCCAAGGAGCAGAACAAGATGTGCCAGGAGGCAGAGAAACATCAGCCAAGAAAAGGAACGACCACGTCTCTTTGGCAGAGGGATGTGGTACGGGCACCCTGGGGAGGCACTGAGCAGCTCCCCAAGGCTGCACTGCACCCCTCTGCATAGAAACCTGTGTTGAAGACCTGCCACAACCATCCCCAGGAGCAGAGCTCTGGCAATGCCACCACACCAGGGGCTTTTCAAGAAAAGGGGGACCTGCAGACTCTGAATAAAGACACACAATCTGCCACTGCTGTACGTCAGGGAGGTTAGATGCAAAACTGCACAATTTAGCTGGGCGTGAGGCTGTTGCAAAGGCAGGATTAACTCTGTGGATCAGTGAAGGTTGTGAAGGATCAGTGCTTCACAAAGCAGCCTCTTCCCAACAGGTTCCTGTGTAGGACGGGCACACAGCACACCCACAAGCAGCAATAGGCATCTTGTTCATTTAGCCGGTCCTTAATTAGGAAGCCCTCCTTCTATCTGGATGCTCAGACTTGCCCCACACTGCTGGAGAGGGGAAGGATGCAGTGGTCCTCCTGCAAGTCCCCTGCCCCAGGAGAGGAAGGGCTCCCCAAGCACTAAGGTAAAGACTCATTACAAAAACTCTCCCTCTCTGCCTCAAACCAGCCTCATCCCTGCCCCTTTCCCTTGCATGAACCACGACTAATCTCTGCTGCAGGATGATGGTGTAAGAAGAAGCAGCTTTAAATCTGCTGTCACTGTCTCCATAAACGTTCCCTATCCCTGTTCCCCTTGAACCCTGGACAGGTGACTCACACTTGCCTGAATGAGCGGGAGGCTTTTCTTCTTTCATCCTTTTTTGGGAGAGGAATTCTTTCCCAGCTCACTGCTAAGCCCCTGGTTCAACAACACGTATTTTTTCCACTTAGCCCTGGCTCTTCTAAGTCCCTAACTGCTCCAGGACCTGCCAAGTCTGCCCTGGTCATGTCACTGCCACTTATCAGCATCATCCCCAGTCTTTCCCCCTTGCAGGCTCTCAAAAGATCTCTGGCTGAGGCACAGACCCCTGGGTAGCACACATAAGCCCTACTGGCCCTACACTTGCTGTCCTCCAATCCCACATGCCTGTCCTTAAGCAACTACCTCTAGCCTTGCCAGGTCCTCATGCCACAGCCTGAAACACAGAGCTCCTGTTGTTTTTTCTGCAGGATCTAGCAAGATTGGTAAATGCTGGTATTACATAGAGCTGCAGGGCTGAGGTCTATGGGCAAGCTCAGGGCAAGCACCTGTTTTAAACCCAGCATGGGGCAGGGATGTTTCCAGGTTAAGACCCAGGAAGTCCAGAAGGCTCCTGTCCTTCCTGCACAGAAAGGGCCTTTCCTGAGAGCTGCCAAGCTCACTTTAGAACCTGCATTTACATCCCAGCTTGTGATGTGGGAAAAGCATTTAAAGAGATGCTTAAAATTAAGTACACCATTAAGTCTCGGGTCTGTGCACTGCTTTGGGATTCCCAGGCACTGTGGCAATAAAAATAACCAGGTCCCATCAACAGCAGCTCCACAACAGCTACTCACAGGGGGGCTGAGAGGTCTCTGCACCACATGCAGCTCTGCACACTGCTCCCAAGCCCTGCTGGCCACAAGGAGATGCCACCCAGCCATGGCATTTCAGAGCCCCTGTTTGCTTGGAGCATGGGCAGGCAGGCATCTCCAAGTGTCCTACATCGTGTCTGAGGACAACTAAGAGGTGCCATCATCAAAGAAGGGATTATTTGGCCAAGGGCTCAAGACAGGGGACAGGGAGGAGAAACCCCTGCTCCTCCCCTGCTTGCTCAAAACAGAAACTGACCTTCACTGGAGCTCAAAACCACTGCAGATTATTAAGGCATTAGTTCATTGCCCTTCCACACAGGGACAGGCTCTGCGTGGAGCTCACCCAGCCCTTTGCCATGTGGGAATGACCCCATGGTGTCCCTGTGTTTCTCAAGCAGTGTCTCTGCCCCCTTGTGCTGGTGCCTGCCAAGCCGTGCAGCTGGCAATGCGGGGGCACAGCCTGGCACCCCCTCCCCACGCTGGAGCTGCAAGTGGGGGCACCCTGGGGGCAATCCCACACCCCCAGGTCCAGGAGGATGTGTCCCACCACTTGATTCACACAGGCTGGTGATACCATGAAGCCTGGCTGAACCACAACAAACTCCTGTATCACTTCCAAGGGTCGCTCCAGCCCCAGCAGCACCTCACAGATGAACTTCCACCTCCTCTTTATTAAATAATCTCCCTTCCAGATGCTCTCACAGCAGCTTCTGCCAGTCTCATCCTGTTCCCTGGCTCCCATGTTCAGCTCCCTTTTGGTCCTCATCCCACCTGGGGTAAAAACCTGTGTTACAGCACTCCTTGCAGCATCTCCCCCTTCTTCTGAACCTAACCAGCCACTTCACCCAGCAGGACCTCAGCCAAGTCACATTATGTTTAAATTCCTGCCTGGCAATAATCCGCAGCACACCAGGTGATTCATGGACTTGGGCAGGGAAGCCAGAGGGCAAACCCTCCCACCAGGTTTCTATTCTTACTTCCCTTCCATTTCCATCTTGTCTGCAGACATGCCCTCCAGTAGGCATGAGTCAAGCTCCAAAAAACAGTGAGGGAAAG